GATTGTAGATACACAAGTGATAGGTAAAACAATAAAATTTTCAGAAGAAAATGTAGGAGCTTGGTGAAGATTTTCTGAATAGGAAACAAAAAGTGATAAAAAACAAAATGTTGTTAAATTTAAATTCATTAAAATTAAAAACTTCTGTTAATCAAAAGAGACCAGTAGATAATATAAGAGCGAACTCAGAGTGGGAAAAGATATTTGCAGTTCAGATATTGAACAAGAAAATTCATATCCAGAATTGATAAAGAACTCCTACTAATCGATAAGGATAGGCACCACACATATGTTAATTAATTTTCTCTGTTAAGGATATTAGTTTCTACTGAGTCTTTAGCCAAGCACAGAAATAATTATTTATCTGTCTTTCTGCCATTTATGTCTGTCTATCTCTCTCTATATATATATTTATGAAAATATTTGAAGGACAATTTCTTATAGTTTAGCTAAATATGTATTAAATACAGCAGAATACACTTTGAATTGTATATCTCTATAGAATTGTATAATTGTCTCATATGAATTATACTGTCAAATAACTCGGAACATAACACAAGAGTACTTTACTACAGAAAGAACAGTAACGTATTGGGACCACATTTGACAGAGTGGGCCAGATCTTGGCCCAGTGCCCACTCCCACTTTCTTAGCAATACAGTACAGCCCTGATTTTATTTAGGGCAACATTAGACACAGTTTTAAAACTGCAGTCTCTTACCTTGCAGGTGGAGTTTGGCTTTTAATGTAGTTCTAGTGAATGCGATGCAAACAGCATAATTAATTTGCTTTTGACAGGAACTTGCAGGAAAGCCCCTTAAAAGGGTTTCCACTCAGGGAATATGGACCCTGTGCCCTTGTCCCGTCACCCTTTGCTCTTCCTCTCCCAGGTGTTCAGAGCTGCAGAAGCCATCCTGCAACCATTCTGGAAGCTGAATCACAGAGACCTTCACCCTGACATCTTTGAACTGCCGATGTCGCAGCCTATTTCTGAATGTTTTGTTACCCAAGGAAAACATAAAGGGCCTATGTTGCTTAAGCTCTGGAAACTTAGGTGTTTTCTTACATGCAGCTCAAGTAATGCTGGAGGCACCATCTAAGGAAAAACCAACACCCTTGTTTACCTCTCTCTATTACCTGTAAACATTAGACATTCACAGAAATACACCCCAAGCCCTTTTCTGCCCCTAATTTGATCATCAAGTTCCACTCTTGGATTTTTTTGGAAGCCAGAGTTACACACTGAAGGATTGGGTTTGTTTTGTTTTGTTTTTTTCCTTACCCTTGAAGTTAAATGGAATATGGAATGATGTGTGATCAAGCAGAATCTTTTGTGTCTACGGCAACTGAGAACGCTGCGTTTCTACGCAGACTTCAAGTATTTTACAAGACTTGTTTTTATATTTTTTTGGTTAAATTGTGGAAGGAGAATGGAGTGGGGTCTTGCATTTTCGGTCAGTATAAAATAACATTTTCTTGGAGCAGTTATTATTTACTCTGAATTTTTCTTAATGTTTAGGTATAAAAGGTCTTCCATGTGCTTTAATTGTTTTCTATTTTGATTATAGAAGATAATTCAATTTTTTGAAGGAAGACATCCTACGTTTTACGAATGTTGAGTACATAGAGCTCTTCATTACATTAAAAATATTTTAATAATTATTATTTATTTTGAACATTCAGTCTGCGCTGAAGTAGAATAAGAACCAAAAATCAATTTCATATGAAGATCTGTCTTAAAAGTACTGAAGAAACCAGGCCTTGCCTCCTTGATTTACCTTCTCTTGTTTTCTTTCTCTTCTGCTTTTGCCTACCCTCCATTCATCCTTAAGAATTTAATTCATGTTTATTCTGCGTGCTGTGGCAATTAGTTAATAATTAAGATACAAAAGAATTATAAGCTGTAGTTTCTTTTATGTGGGAGCTCACGATCTAGATGAATAAACAAAGCTCACACATTTGAAACACTCCCATACTCTAGAGAAACATACAGCGTGCCAGGAAAATGAAGATGTTGGGTCCTAGAGCACAGAGAGAAGGGAGATGTTGATGCCAGTTGGTGGATCAGAGAACGCCACAGAGAGGAGAGGAGGCTTGAGTCAACCTTGAAGATGGATTGCTGGATGAGGAAAGATACAGAGGGGTTTTCAGATAGTGTGGGGAGCGAGGGCGAGCCCAGAATAGCTACGGGAATCAGAGTGTGTAGGGGCGGAGCTTGCCGAGGACAAATCAAGGGGCCTTCGGGTGGAGGTCTAATGTGAAAAGCACTGAGGGAGAGAGAGCCTTGAAATCCACATCTTGAGGTAGAAACGGAAGAAAACAACGCGGGCTCGACTGTGCTTCCTTTAGAAATTCCTTGACAGATTTGACCACGAGACTGATGGCCGACGGGGTCGGTCATCTTAGAACTCTGATCACTGAATTTGGAAGCTGATGACTTAGTATTATCAAGGTTGCAGTCTTTGGCATTTACAAAGAGATACTTAGGTACTAAATATCATGCCGTAATCTAGAACTCCAGCCTTCCGTGTAAGAACCAGAAATGGAAAGGCTGGTGTTAAATAGCAAATTCGTGGGCAGGAATATGCCTTTTGTTCTCATCCAGTGAAACTGGCTGCTTCTCACTGAACAGCTCTGCTCCTCAAACCTTAAAGTTTAACTGTGTCTGAATAAATGTATTTGAATGGGTTTTTTTCCCCAAAAATCTAACATGAAAAACTGAAGGGAGCCTTTTCATGGTTTGTTTCCTCATGTTTTATCTAATCTTAGCACCTACCAAAAGGTAGCCTGCAAGAGGACATTGTGTGCAAGTTGAAAAGAAGAAATATCTCAGCGTATCAGCAAAGCAGAGCAAGAAGTGATACAAAGTAGCCAGTGACAGAATGGTTGTCACATGAACTGACAGGTGCTTCAGAAAAACGATTTTTCAAAATTAAACTGGGGTAGAAAGACAAATGAAATCTTGCGCCACTTTGAATGAAAGGTGCCATTTCCACGTCACCTAGCTGAATAGCTTTCTCATTACGTAAGGACCTCTCTTGCCTGTCACATGTAAAAGAGCAAGGAAAATAATACATCGTCTATCTCATTTTCTAAGTGACAGAAAACATTAGATTCGACACTTCATTTTATATGTGTTATAAAGAATTTGGCCCTATTAAATGTTGAAAATTGCCTTTTTTTTTGAAAATTGTTCATTCAGCAAACTTCAAACCAAGTTTGGTGCACTGTGTCTTTTTGGGGTTTTTGTTTGTTTGTTTGTTTTCATTTGATTAGTATTTATTGAGTCCCCATATGCTCCAAACAGTGTGCTGAATGGTTGGGATACATGCGTGAACGTGGAGTTACATCCCCCTGGGGGAGACAGACATTGCAAACAACCCTAATGAATAAGTAAATTATACAGTATACCTAAAGATGCTATCTCCTGTGGTTAAAAAAAATCATTAAAGCAAGGAAAGGGCAGCTGGGAGGGCTGCAAATTAAAATAGGGTGGTCAGGGAAGCCTCAGTACAAAGGTAACATTTAAGCAGAACTTGAAGCCTTTGAAAAACAAGCTACATAAATGTTGGTGGGGGGCTTCTAGACCCCAAGATGAGAGCTTTGCTGACACGTTTTAGGCCTAGCGAGGAGGCTGGTGGGCTGGCGTATGGTGGTGATGGGGGCCCTAGAGATGAGCCGAGAGAGGTACTGGGATTGGATCATAGACTGTGGTCCATTCTTTGACTTTGGCTTTTTTTTTTAAGTAACAGCTTTATTGAGGTATAATTCACATACCAACAGTTCACTCGTTGTAAGTGTACAATTCAGTGTTTTTAAAATATATTCACAGAATCGTGCAACCATCATCACGAACAATTTTAGACGGTTTCCATCACCCCACAAGAAACCCCATACCCTCCCAAACCCCTTTCACCCTAGGCAATCCCTAGTCTACTTTCTGTTTCTATGGATTTGACTCTTCTGAAAATTTAACACAAATGGGATAACACAGTACATGGTCTTTTCTGACTGCCTTCTTTCACTTTGTTTTCAAGGTTCATCCATGTTGAAACGCGTATTAGTACTTCATCCCTTTTTATGGCTGAATAATATTTCATTGTATGGATAGGCCACATCTTGTTTATTCATCAGTTGATGGACATTTGGGTTGTTTCCTCTTTTTGGCAATTATGAATAATGCTGCTATGAATATTTGTATATAGGTTTTTTTAGTATGGATGTATGTTTTCATTTCTCACCTCGGAGCGGAATTCCTGGATCGTATGGAATTCATATGGGTTCATGTGGTTCATCTCTAAGTTTAATCTTTTGAGGAGCTGTCAGACTGTCTTCCAAGGTGGCTACCTCACTTTACATTGCCCCCAGCAGTGTACGAGGGTTCTCATTTCTCCACATCTTCAGCAACACTTGTTATTATCTGTATTCTTGATTATAGCCATCCTAGTGGGTGTGGAGTGGTATGTCGCTGTTTTAATTTGAAATTGCCTGATGACTGTGATGTTGAGCATCTTTTCATATGCTCGTGGCCATTTGTGTATCTTCTTTGGAGACATGTCTTTCCAGTTCCTTTGCCCAATATAAAATCAGGTTTAATTGCCCGTTTATTATTGGGTTGTAAGAGTTCTTTACATATTTTAGATGCAAGTCACTTTTCAGAGAGATGGTTTGCAAATATTTTCTCCTGTTCAGCACATAACAAGGCCTTAATAAAATCTTGTTGAATAAGTATTTGGATGTTCAAAATTATATTTCCATCACAGTGTCATTGTAGCTTTACAGTTTAGTCAATTGTATACCAATTATAGTTTCCCTGACTTAAAACTATTAAAACCTGTCAAAATAAATGGACATATCCTTCATTATTTTATCATCTTTAAATTCAGCATTATGATTGGTGAGGTGTTGAAAACCTGTCATTTTAATGATGGACAAGTGACAAAAATATGGAATACAATTTGTCATTTAAAAATTTAATATTTGACTTTTAAATTTTATAGATGGGAAAAGTGGAAGCTGATCTAACTAGATCCAAGTCTCTTCGTGAGAAACAGTCGAAGGAGTTTCTGTGGCAGCTGGAGGACGTCAAGCAAAGATACGAGCAGCAGGTCGGTCCTCCTTCTGACGGCTGCCTTTGATTCTCTCACGTGCATATACGCTCTCTTCTGAATATCTCTTTATGTCACAAAACCTCTGCACAACGAAAATACTTACAAGAACATTATTACCAATATATTTGAAATGTTTAAAATAATGGTTGTTTCACTGGAATCTAGAAACAGAGAACTTTAACTGTCCGCTGAAGTCTGTTCTGACAGTTGACTAAACTGAACGTTTAATTGAAACATTTATTGTGGTTCTTGAGTTCTCCTCCTGTCAGAGCACAAGTTTGACTTATTTATTTAAGAAATAGTTTGGGGCACCTACTGTGGCCCAGGTGCTGTCACCGACCCCGGGCAGAGCGGTGAGCAGGGCCGACAGGATTCTTTCCTCACAGAGCTTGGATTTTGGTGGGCAGCCAGTCCATCAGTTAAAAATGAGATAATTTCAAAGAGTGAGTTGGGAAGAAGAAAAGAGGGAGTGTGCATAGACTTTGCCAGGCGGCGGGCGGAAGGGCCTGACCGGCACCGACAGGTGGGCAGGGGCCTGGTGCTGAGAGTCCTGGCGACGGGAGGGGCCGCGAGAAGGCTCTGGAGGAAGAGGGGGCCAGGCTGGAGGGATGGCAGGTTCAACGATGCTGCGCTGGCAGCGGCGGGGGCTGTTCGGGGAGCGAATGACACTCGGGCTGGATTGGCCGGAGCACCGAGGGGAAGGGTCCGGCTGGGACCAGGACGCGGGGGCAGCAAAAGGAGTTTAATTCTGTGCTCAGTACCCTGCCTCTTGTTTATTAATAAAAAAAAGGCTTTATTTTTATCTTTTTAAAAATATATCCCTGCAGACTCTCGGAATAGTCAAGGCAACTATTAACTTTTACTTGTTTGTCTAATTTGCTTGCCTTGTTTCCTTAACGTCTAGAAAAATGTTGATTAGCTTAGTCACTCAGTTAAAATTGTTTCCTAGACAGTATTTGAACCTTTTTGTTCTAGAAACCTGAATAACTTTTTCTTTCATTATTTTATTTTTAATCCCTTATTAAGTGGGTCCTTCATCTGCAATTGCTATAGAAATATTTTCGCATGTGCAAGATGATATATGCTCATGGAAGATTATTTGAAATAATGAAAGAAAGTTAATAAATAAAGCCAATGATTAAATTATTGTAAACCTATACTATGGAATGCTATGTACTCCTTGAAAAGATTGATATAAATTTGTAGGAACCAACAGACACAGATTTCTAAGACACAGTGTTAAGGGGGAAATAAAGCACATGACAGAACAATTGTTACATTATGATCCTATTTATGTAAAATTAAAATATATGTGTCTGTATCATATAGCTAGATATGTTAGTTTAGCTTTAAAATTCTAGAAGATTACACATGTCTATAGAATGGGCATGAAATAATAGGTTAGATTATGATAAATTGACACTTTCACTGTATGCTTTAAATAGACGTTTTTACTTAAAATTTCACAAAGAGCATATGTCATGCATTACTTGCATAGTTAAAATATAAAAGTTATGAATGTAAAGAAACAATAGAATAGAATAAATATAGAACATTTATATTATATCTGTAGTATTTTAAGTGGGTAATAAATTTGGATTAATGCAATACAAAATCAATTCAAGCAATTACACATAAAATTGTATATACATAAAATTACATAAGAGATGAAAATCCTAAAAGATAAGAAAAGACAGAGAAGAAAGAGCACTAGCAGATTATTTCAGAAATACCAGAAATATATGGGTAACTTCAGATTTTCTAACTCCAAAACCCAGTGCAATAGAATTATTTTCTCAGAATCTTCTTTAAACAATGGTGTGAGAATGAAGTATCTAATTTCTGATTAATAGATGATGGCAGTGAAAGTCATTCTGACATACACCAGCTTAAAAACATGTATTTCCACTGACATACACTTTCTCTAAATAGTCGTGGAAGACGTTTTCCGGACCTTTAGTACTGGAGTGGAGGTTGCTTGGGAGACTAGCTTTAGAAACTAGGCATAGAAACTTACATAAGAAGTGGAGCCCACAAGTAGGAAGAGGTGGGGGTCAGAGGGAAACTGAGGGGATAATTCATCAAATATAAATAATATTTAACGAGGCTTGTTAACAAGATACAGTGTATAACCGAGGCGACTTCTGGATTAAAAACTGTATAGACGCACTAATAAAAACAAGAAACATGTCGGTTTCTCCATGTAAACTGATGAAGGAACAGGGGAGAGAAGAAAACCAAGTTTTAAACCCTTTCTAGGACACCTGTGCTCCTCAGAAGCTATTGTACGGCAGGGTGAGTGTGTGTAAGGGGTTGGAAAGTTCTCCGAGTGTCTTTAAAATTCTGTTTTCATTTTGATGATAACCATGTGGGTGACAAGTTTATAACCAAGTGTGGCCAGGTCACTGCAGGGTCTGATTTGCATTTATTCTGTGATCATTTTGGCACAGCTCTGACTTTTTAAAGTTGGATGTAACGAGTAAAACCACTGAGGAAAATGAACATTTGACTAAATATAAATTATTTTAAGTTAAAGAAATAATATTTGCCACAAATATCGTAGACAGAGTGATTCCCTTTGTCAAATTAATAAATGTATAACCAATAAAAATAATTAGCATATAAAGTAATTAGCATAAATTTTAGCAAAATCATTAATGCTCCAGGAAATGACCTGGCAAAGGAAAAGAAACGTATATGAAATAAATTGAGTAAATGACCGTGTAGAAACATCTTCAGCCTTGGTATTAAGAAAAATGCACATTAGAATAGTGATGTACCATCTAAAGCTGGCCAAAGTTTAGTAAAACTGGTACTTTCACGTATTGCTAGTGGCGTTATAAATTAATGCAGCCCAGAGGACTTTGGCAGTATCTACCAAGAGTCATAAAATTTGTTTACCTCTTCTGGCCAATTATCCTTAACCTTGAAAATCGGACAGAATTATTCAAACAATGATGTTATTTATTTTTCAGATGGTGGAATAGTTATTTTTCAGATGGTGGAATCATGGTTCTTGATTCTTTTCTCACATGCTCTACTTTCCACATTGTGATAGTGTCTTTTTAACGTGACAGTCGCTGTTTTAGTGTAAAAGTAAATTTATATAAACTCGTTTGAAGGAATGTTAAGCTTCGTAGGCTTTTCTCTGGGTGATAGATTTAAAACTGTACCAAATTTTTGTCTTTTAAGTCTTGATCAAAAATACTTAATAAGGAAAACATTAATTCTTTAAAGAATTCATACTATTAATAGAAACCATACACTATTGCATCAATTTTTCTGTGTCTCATTTTCATGAAAAAGAGAGAAATGATATAAATGTTATACAAGTATATAAGAGGAACTTTTGAAAAACCACACAGAGACCTCTGAGGTCAGTGCAGATTTCGCCTGCTCCCATCCTTCCTGTGTCTGTGGGCCTCTTCACTGGAGTCCATGCTGACAGTGAAGACCCCAGGCAGTAACTTGTAAAGGGAAGATAAAAGCAGGAATATGAGCTACTGGGTTTTAGGAGAATATTTTTTGATGTGATAATATACAAACTTTTTAAAACCTTTTTTTTTTTTTAAGCAGAAAATTCTATTAACTGGAACAGCATTGCCCCGACCACTCCAGACTGTTGGGGTTTTTGTTGTGAACGCTTATCATGAGGAAAGATAGGCATGTGGGAGCAGGTCCCTATGAGCCAGCTCGAGCGAGCTCACTGAAAGGGAAGCCGATTAAACTGAGCTTATTCCCTTCTTTGGGCAGACTGGCCAGGCTGGTAGATAAGGAAAGAGGAGTAGATGTGATAGATTTGGACTTCACTGAGCCGTCTGGCAAAGTCCTTCTTGAAGGCCGAATAGGAAATATGGTTTAGCCATTGGTTCATTTATGGGGTTAAGAGAGAGTTCAAAGGGCCATCTCTGAATGACGATTGACACCCTAAGTGAGATTCTGTGTGTCACACTGGGTAATGATATAAGAGGTTAGTTTCCTGCTTCCTTGGAGTTCAGAGGAGTAGTTAACATGCGGGATATGAAAATCAGTTTTCTGAAGCTTTAAACAGATGAAATTAAGAAGATTAAGTTTATTGGGATTGAATATAAAATTCCATGCTTTGGTTCAGAAAATCATCCGCAGAAAGTATGCGGTGGGGGAGACGTTAGGTTGTCTAGGCTGGGGGGGCCGCGACAAGCAAGACAGGAAGAACCCCCTGGGGCGATGGATCCTGGAGGGTAAAAGGTACGGCCTCCTTCTATTGTTTTCCCATCAGGTCGTATGAGGAGTCAGTCAGTTCTGGTCGCCACATTTTAAGTAGGGCGCTGACAAACTCAAACATGTTCAAAGCAGAGTTTCCAGAACACGGGAACGTTTGGGTCTAGGTCAGAGGGAATATATCAAGGAATAAGGGTGTTTTGCCAAGAGAAGACGAGACTGAGGAGGGTTGCATATCTATCTTTAACTCCAAGGTCTGGAACAGAGGAGATTTTATGATTGCTTTGTGTAATAACAGTCGTGATAGCCACCAGTCAGGAGGTCATAACGCTGAGCCGGGTACCGTTTCCACCTGCTTTAGGTGACTTCAGCCACCTCCCGTCCTCACAGTCATCTTGCGAGGCAGTGCCATTGTTCATTGTTCCATCTCCAGTTGTAGAAACTGAGCACCTCCAGTTAAGTCACTGGCCAGAGGTGCCGCACGGTTAATAGGTGATGAGAGCAGACGTGAACGTGAGCCATGCTCTTAACCTCACTCTGACGGACCCCCAGGGGGCTCCAGGGGGCAGAAATTGAGCCTCTGCGTGTGGAACATTTTGGGTTATTTCGAGGTGGTTCTTTCCTAAAGAATTATTCAGATGTGCAGTGGTTCGTCTCGTAACAAAGTAAGTTGCCCACCTGAGCGTGTTGAGGTGACTGCCCGAACGCTGCGGGTGGATGTCCCTCCCAGATCCGCGTTCTGTGACCTGTGCCTTCGTTGATTCGCCCCCAGCCTCCCGCCTGGCCCCGTGTGCCTC